CTGAACCCTTCCGTGGTTTCGAGACGCTCGTTCCGAATTTCCGAGGGCAAACAGAGGGATTGAATGAAATTGAGCGGAATCCCGAGCTCAACGGCCATAAGAAGTATGGGCCCACGAGTTGTGTCGAATAAACTCGAGCCGGTAATAGTTCATCTGTCTGATCACTTCGATCGTCTGACCGACTCTCGGTCGAGGCTCCAGACGAGAGTCGTCAGCTTTCCGCAAATACTTTCGCAGCTGTTTCAAGTGAACGGGCAGGAGTGTCCAGTCGGTCCGCCGGTCCACGGCGGACGGAGAAGAAATTGATTGCGATCACCATTGAGCAAACGAGCCCTTTCCCTCAGTTCCCGCCGCCCGCCTTCAGCTGATCCCGAGGAACCCCTACCCCACGATAGTCGTTGCCTTCCCCGAACTCCTTTTCGGAACTCGAGAGTCATTGGTCCAAACTCTAATGAATACGAATCGCCGGTGCTATTTTACATCGCTGAACCCGTCAGTCGGTCCTTCTTTCATTTCTTCCGTGCTCGGCACAGCTTGGAATATTCGGTTCGCGTTCCCGATCGCTCAGAACAGAAAATCATGAACAGACCAGAAGGCTTTGGCATGACATTCTCTCTGGGAGGAAGCTACCGAGACTTCGAGCGGATATCTTCCACCTCTCTTAAGATTCTTGGTTTCCGTGCGATCTCCGTGGTCGGGTTCAGACCGAGCTGCTCGCTTTGCGTTGAATCAACTCGAATCTTACCCTGGAGAGCCGTTTGTCGACTCCGCACCAGTCTGTCCGCTGGTAGGGTCGGCGACGCCCGCACTGGGAACGAGACTGAGTGAGCGACCTACGGCCGGACCGACAGAGCGAACGAATGGCCCCGAGGATTCCCGAGCGTCGTTATTAAATCAGAACGCGTCTTCGCTTATTTCGTCCGCCATAAATAAAGTCAATGGTACTCTTCGCACCGCCGTTTGTCGACACAGGCTCTCATACACGCAGACACGTCGTAGACGACGCCGACTCCGGATCTGCCGATCGGTGCGCAATCTGCTCCTCACCGATCCGATCATTCTGCGGAGGGAGACCGTTGAGAATTTATGTGGTGCTCGGACGCTTGCCAGCAAAAGTCGAGAGGCATGTCGATGACGGTTGACGATTCCAGAGCTAGTCGCGAGGCACGTGAACGAATTTTCTCAAGCTTATTCCGATCCGAAATCTTTTATACGGTCTCGATCCTGGAAAACTCGGGAAGTCTCAAGGCTGCGTGCTTGCACATCCCCGGAAGTTTCTCGCGGCGACAGCGTCGGGCAGTGATATGAGCGCTCGATATCTGGCTCGGTCAAAACTGACGAATTGGGACGGGAAGATACCTGGAACATGCATCGTGGAATCGGAACTTTCGATATCACTCGAGAGAGCGGGGAACCTCAGAGGAGAACCCACCATGTACGCACTTGTACTGGAGTTTTTCTGAGCGGAGCAGGGTGTGTTCCTCCATCACAGAGCTCGAGTCAGCGTCACAGATAGCACCCTTGAGGTTGCTCAACGAACTTGGTCTCCGATCCCGAAAAATCCCCTCCAGCTAACTGATTCATTTGCCAGTCTTTCTTTCGCAGGTCACATACTCACTCAGTCAGCCTTTCCGCTCCCACCTAAATAGTTCTTTTCGCGCTACTTCGGCAACAGGTTCGATGACTCCCCGAGTGATCGTTCTGAGGCTATCCGGCGCGGGAGTCGAGACCGAGAAGCCAACACCGCACCGATGCTCCATAGCTCGCTTGAAGGAAAATCGACACGAATGGATGTCCCGCTCCATGCTTTTTATGAGGAGAAAGTGATTGATCCCGGAGATTCGAACGAAAATCAACCTCGGCGCGGCCTTTGATGCCCATGGTGATGGCTTTGCTGGAGAATTTCCTATCAGTCGGAGAAATATAATCACGAAGTCAAAGGGAAGTCCTCTTCTCTTTGTTCTCTCTGGATTTACCAGAGAGACACAGTGCCAAACTGAAGTCAATTGCTGATCGGAGCGGAATAACTTCTGGACGGAGTGGTTGTTTTTCATACCCGCTGCTAGTGCTTGCCACATCTAGCGGTCATCCGATGTTATTGACCGCCGGAGGCAGATGCCTCATCCGCTACTCGTTTTGGCAGCGGCCACTCGGGACATGAACGCTTGAGGATTTGCGGAAAAGAGTTTTCCTCGAATTCCGCGGATTTCAGCAGACGTTGCAATGATGCATTCACGAACACTGATCCTGGTGATGTGCCTTCGGAACTTCTATGAGACTTCTGCGACCGTGAGTTCCAAATCGAACTATTAGTGACGACTCTGAAAATTTCGGAACAAATTTAATCTGACTGCCGACACCAAGCGAGGAATCAGCCTCAATGCTACGATTTTTCTTCCAGAATCCCCATGAACAAAAAGACGTTTCCAGAGATCTGAACGGTTTCATGTTGACAGAACTCCGAGTGAGTAACATGTTCTGGGGACCACTAATGAGAATGAACTTGCTTTCCCCATCCTCAGGGTAGTCGTGTCCTGGAGCGCGCTCGAACTCAGGAGCTTGATTTCAGAATCTGAGTGATTTCGAGAGTTGCAAGTGGAATCTGCAGTGCACTTCACGCTGTTGCGTGACCGTGTACGACGCTCATAGAGAATGCAGGAGCTTGTCTAATCCTGGCGAAAGGTAGGTGTTAGGTAGCATGGATGAAGCTCGATGACTTGATCTAGAAGTGATGCCCCCTACCGACGAGCAAGATGCCTTGCGTTTCTGATCTCGACTTAATTCTGCGTTCAATAATCTCTGAACCAAAGGTGCTCATCAACGAATCTGAAGGGTGGATATTATCAAGGAGCTTGTCCTTGCGCAGAGATGGACGGTAGGTGTTCGATGTCAATGAAATATCGGCGGCGACGCGACACCTCTCCGGAGTCCTTCTAGAGTCCTGTGAGAGCTGGCATCATCCCAGACTTGCGGACTTCTTCAGGTCTTCGGATTGAGTTCAAGATGAAACTTTGACGGGAGGTTCAGCCTTAAGGGTCGCGGATGCGAATAATGATGCTCCTTAATCAACGGTGATGCTATTCTCTTCGACAGCCTGCATGCGTTCCGGGGGTTCCTCGCTAGGAGAGTGTCGGAAGCCTAAGAAGGTAGCATTCCTTGATATTTTTCCGAAATGGTCTCTGATTCTGTTCAAATGAAATATTCAATGTTTCGGGGTATTCAGCTTGAGATCCCTTTCGAAAAAAAAGAGAGTCGTGCTTGAATACTTTGCTGGGACTCTTCAGGAGCTGACGATAATCTCTACCACTATATTCGGGGCTGCGAACGAGCGCAAGCGTTCAATCGATGAGCCGACGTCCTGAAAAACCCTCCAGAAGAATATCACCAATGAAGTAAGTTTCAACGAGAGGATGGTCAACTTGTCCCAGACAAGAACCCAAACATCGGAGGAGCATGTGAGAAAAATAATGGAGCGAAGATCCTCGCGAGATGGATTTCGATGCGGAGATGGAATCCTCCGCTCCCCGATATCCCCTCTGCTGCCACCTTTGGGATCTAATATATAATCAGAAATCTCTCTTGCTCGCGAAGGCTTTGAAATTCATGCTGGTCGCGTTCCCTTGCTCCGAAGCTAAATCGTCGTCAATAGCCCGCTCGAAGAAGGAAATTGTGCTGCCTCAGCATTTTCCGAACCCTCTCCTCACTGGTTCGAGCTCAAAAAGGGTGGTGCCGCGAGAAAAATTACAATCAGCATACAAACGAAATCGTGTCAAAGCTTATTTCATATCGCTCCGCCGCTCCTCCCGGCGGCCCGTACCGCCGAGCATCGATACGAGCAGTGCCTGCGAGCGGTTACGGTAGAGGAGCTCCTTTCGTTTCGGCCTATCTCTCGATTCGTGAGCGTCAATAAAACTTTCCCACGTTCCGAGCTATTGAGAACTCGTTCGCTCCCCGCTTCCTTCGCCTGCTCCACCGTCGCTCCCTTCAGCGCTTCCGGGACTCAATTGTTAGGCAAGTTCTTCTAATTTCCTCGCAAGACGATTGTAGCATGAGCTTCGAATGTCGTACACCTTTCTCAAACTCTCTCCACCCAAAAGGAATCTTATCGATATGCCTCGGAGGCGGGATGATAGCTCGCGGTGAATCCTTCCCAGAATCGAAACCAAAACCAGTCACCGATCCCAAACCGACGGGGAGAGCGGCTCGAAGAGCCGATCTCTCTGGGAAGAAGGATCGCTCAATGATTCTTACTTCCAGATTTCATTCTGCATTGCGAGCGAGCCTTCACCTGATCATCCGAGGAGCTGCCGAATTGAGTTGAGCGCAGTAGCGCCTCCCTCTCTTTTCTGCGCCTCTGTTTCCTTTGCTCTCTGATTCCGAAATCGTGACTCTCCAAGTCTCAAAAATCCATATCCTTACCGCTCGCCGTAACTGGAGTCAAAAGGAGCTATATCAATACTGAGAAATCCGTACGCCACTGAAATTTTCCTTTACGGAATACTAGTTGTTTTTCTTCGACTATCCCAGATCGCTCCAGGAATCCTCGGAGAACGCTCGTTCCAGGAAGTCTTTCAGGCTTCAGGAAGCGTTCCAGGCAATACTGATATGGCTCGGAATTCCATTTTTCAGACGAAGGATGACGCGCTCCGTCGGCAGAAAGTGAATTGTCCATGGAAATCGGGTCGAGAATCTCACGATCGGTGCGAATATCGCGGAGGGTTTCCTGCTCCCTTGAGTATAATATTTCGAGTGATAGGCTGCTCGGAATGGCAGAGGAAAATGGCAATTTGAGAGAGTGTCGCACTCCTCCAAGATCGAAAGGAGCGACAGCTGTCATCCCACGATCAAACTATGCCAACGGTGACGCGGGACGATAGTTCACTGATCAGGATCTCCGTGAGTTGGCGTTGACGCTGACAGACGTTCCCCTCGTCATAGAAACGGCTCATCGTCGGATGCGGGAATTTGACGAATCCGGCACGAAAAACGAGTTCAAACAATAAACAAAATATGATATGATTTAATTTCTTTCTCTGTCTCCGGCCCGTCCCGTGGGTTCACAGAGAATCATTCCCCAATCCATAGATTGGGTTGAGCTTTAACTAACTAGTTCAGAGTCTCGCCCTCGACCCTCATTCCCAGTCTCCGCTCCTTCGCGGTAGCTATCTTGCAAATGCATAGGTGATGTAACGCGAATGGCTGCTGTACAGCTCGCGGTACGAGTGCGTATGATCCCCATCAGGGTCGGGTGGTACATGAACTGGAACAAGGTGCTTCGACCCATCCCGAAAGAGGTCGAATCGCAAAACCTCCACCGTTATCCGTGAATCAGGGGTCGTTGTGCAACATAAGCATAGCCGTTTTCTACATTGAACAATTGTTTGAAGCATTCACCTCGGGTAGAATCTAGTCCCGCGTAAGTCCTAGCCAACAAAGTATGATAAAAAGCTTTGTACTTCTTTGGTACTAAACTCTCGTTGGAAAATCAAGTGAGCTCAGACTGAGACTCAGCTCCCGGGGGTCAGGACAGCTCATCATCCACATCCGCTTCAAAAATATCCTCATCCAAGGGGTTGCCCCGATATGGCTCGATTTGATGTATACAGAAGGAGGGACATTCATCTTTTTCCGAGTATGCGAAAGGACAGTCCTGAGCATCGATCGGGTAGACCGGGTCGGTACATGGCACTAGAAGAGAGATATACGCTGTCAATATACAAGCTTGGATGAAGAAGTTCAGACGAATGAGAATCATTATTGGCTTCTCTATCCTCTCTGAATTATTGTGTACGGGAATCTCAGGAGTTGCCGGTCCGAAAATCCACCCCAGAGTTGAACGGAAAAATTCCCCCACAGGCGAGAAGCTCTGTATCTCTACTCACCACAATACGACACCAAGCAGCCTTTACCTCCCATGTATTCGGAGCAGTCGTACCACAACTTATTCGTGCATGATCCAAAACAAGTGAGGTTCTGTTCGAACGGACAACCTGGAGAAGGATTCAAGATCGTTGAGATTCCAGAGATCGAGTCTATTCACCCAGTACGGGATTGCTTCCAGTGTCTCATCCAGCTCGGTTCCGCTAGAGAATCGATTCCGACTGGAAGAATCCACGGATGGAATGAAAGAGACCATTTTTTCGCTCTTGTAGACTCACCTATTCCGATGGCCGAACACATATTGGGTGAAGAGAACCACGAGGAGCTGAGAGTGAGCGCACTGATTAAACAGAACTCTATAACGTAGTGCATTCTCTGGAAAAGCTACATCGCCACTGAAAATCGGAGCAATAACAGATGTTAAACGACGACGACGTGAGCACCACAAGACTGCTCTCCACCTCGCCGCCATCCGGCCAGGAAACGCGCTTGTGCGGCTGTATGTCTGTCCGCGGCCTGTTCGCCAGCCTGCGCGACTGCTGACGCTAGGCATCCACTAGGCAGAGCGCACCTGTAGTGACTGCTCCTGGAGTTCCTCTGTACTCTATACCAGAGCTCGTAGCGTTATATCTAGTACGGAAGGGCGACAGTCTTACGACAGCTGGTCGCGGAAAGCTTTCAAAGCAGAGGAACCGCAATAATATGCGTGACAAAGACGAGGATTTTCGCTCCGCGGAGTCTGTCCCACTGTTAGAGAGAGCTACGCAGATTTGCTACACGGCACTGCCAAAGCATAATCATGCTTCATCATGACGACGACAATTGAATTATTTGCCGCTCTTCACCGGTTGAGAGACGCTCTTCATTCTTTAGGAGGAACTTTCCCTCAATTTCCTCGAAGCCTCAAGCACTATAAGTGGCCAGCACCTGGCCGCGTTATCCGAATCTATTCGCGCCGATAGTCATACTCTGAACATTTTCCAGGATCTGTCGCTGGAGGCTTGGCTCGGGGATCTCCGTCTTCAATGGCGACCGAAACTAGAGCGGGAGCGCCATTCGAAACCTCGAGATCGATCTGCAGAATGTCTCGATTGAAAGCGCGCACATTCGCTCCCAGATGGATGCTCTTCGTCTCGTCGACACCATGATCGGAGACACTATATTTATAACTAGAACACGACACGCATGGCTCGTGAAGCTCGGAGGAGCTGACGCCCAAGCTGAGGAGTCAGAAGCAAATTCAAGGTTGTTCGGAGTGGAGCGGAGTCAAGCCAAGATCTTGAACGACCAACTTGAGGACCATCGGTTCTCTCATAAGTAAACACGAAGGTCTTCGAGAACGCAATTCTCATGTTCCCCCGGTCTCTGTCTCTCCTCCACGTTCCAACCATAGCATCAGACTTTCTATGTTCCAATAGAATCGATCGAAACGGTGACTTCTTCAGAAACTGAATCGAAGCTTTTGGAATAAGCGGCACCTCCGATGCGTGGAAGTTCTCGATCTCGGGTTGCGAACGGATTCCGCCAACACTTTACCGACCCCTCGATGTACTCACCTTCGACAAAGCTCGAAGCAGGGATCAGGCCTGGGAAGAAATGCTTTCAACTAAGGAATGCTCGATGCATATTGAGAGCACACACTTCTATAAGAAGTGCAGCAAAAAAATGGATAGTCGAGCAGCCGGCGACGTTCGATTTCAGCTAGCAGCTCGTTCCAGAACAGCTCCGGATACCCTCGCTAAGACAGAGGCGCAGTCGAGATCTGTATCTATTCGTCACCGGCATGACCGCGCACTCAATCGCGGATCGGACTCGGGGCCGACCCAGAAGGATCTGCAGAGTAGATCATGGAACCCCATCGGGCCTCGATACTTAGGTAGTTCAATGCTTCAATGGTTTATTTGGATCTGACGGTATCATATCACGCACACATGAAGCTGTCGATTCAGGCGCGAATTGGCTCAGCGAATTCAATGGTTTCGAGCTCTTCACTTGAGATCCAAGTGTAACGGGAATCGGGAACGTTCACTGCGATGGCTCTCAGAAAAAAAGCCACATCATACCTCTCCCTCGTCGAATGAGGAATTCGGAGCCGTGGATGCCTTCGAGCTCCCGCTCTCTAGGAGAGGAGTAATCAGAGAAGTTCTGAATAAATCGGAATCGATGACCTTAGAGATTCTCATTTTCATTTCCATATAATTCACAGGGATTATGTGGGCGGGGACAACGGTAGATGGCTCTCCACATGGTCATAGCGGGGTCTTACGACGATTGAAGTCAAGCCCGCTCCGGGAAGCTTCGATAGCTCGAGAGAGATCGATCTCCCTGGGAACCGAACGCTCTGGCGGACTGTCGGCAAATCGAGTCTTGACTCTCAAACCGCGTCAAGGAGCCAGTGGAATCTCCAAGTTCCCGATCCATGCTGCCGACCAAGAGACAATCGGATCCGGACCAGCGGAGCCTGATCTCTCCGATCTTCACAGGAGGGCTACGCTTTTGCACGTCCTGGGAACCTCAAGAGGTATCTGCTGAACGTCGTGCACGTGGGCGAATTTCGTAAACAACACGCATGACGAAATCCATCAGCAATCAGTGTTCTTCATTGAGTCCCGAAACACTTGTCCCCGACTCTCCGAACTAAGCCGAAACGTCTAGTATCGAACGCCGTCATCGTCGTGATTTGGTGCCCTGTGTGTGTTTTGTGATTGCTCAATATGCGGAACGAGCACCTGGCGCTCCTGATTGAAAAAGGCAGGGAAGGAGCCGCGATTGGTCGGAGTATCCTCCAAATGTTTGAAACCGAAATGCAAGACTCCAAGGGCAAGCTGGCGATCGAGGAATTCGAGCATCTAGAGGTTCTCCTCAAGCAGGCTAGGAGTCTCTCCGACAAAGAGTCAGCGGATCGATCTTTACTGGAGAGCGAGGAGGATCCGTTGCTTCGAGACATCAACGATGACGATATCAAAAGCTTGCGGAAAGAAATCAGGGAAGAGCAAACTCGTTTTAGAAGTTCTTGGCTGAGGCTCCAAGGTATTGAAGAAACTATCAGGAAGGAAGGTGAGAGCTCTCGCAAATCGTACAAGGAGCAAACGGATGGAATCCTACAGTCTATTCAGGATCAAGAAAATGCGATATGCACCCTCGAATCGCTCGTTCGAGGGCTAGAAACTGTAGGCTGGCACGATGACGACGTCAGGAAAGACAATGCCGCACCCCGTTTGATTGTGCATCCTCCCTCCCCGGGCGGTGATTTTAATAAGTTCGCAGAACGGAACAAATTCGATTTATTGTCAGCTCCAATGCGCGATGGAGGCGACTCTCGGGAGAGCGGTATATCCGAAGGATCGTCTCCGAACAGCTTCAGCAATCTTCAACAGACTGCTTGAATGCCCCTTTGATTTAGAGGTGATCAACTTCCTCTACTAGCGGAGTCCTCGATTTTTAAGAAAGGTACCGGAATGAGTCTATGCGAGGGAGGATCCCGGAAAAGTACTTTAATAAAAATGTTTTTCGATGAACAAATCCATCCGATAATTTCACCTGCAAGACGAGTCCTCTTGTGAATACATTCGTGTTTCGCTGGCAAGGTCATCGATCCTTCGAAAGGATCAGTCGACCTTCGATTCGCCATCGATCGGGGCCGTCTTCCCAGACTGTTCCCCTCAGACTCACCGTCATTCTCAGGAGCCTCGGCATCGGGTCAAGTTCGGCGGACGTACATATAGTACAGTAGTACCTATGCATGCGTCTCCGTGGCTCTTGGATCCTCGTCCTCAAAAGCCGGAAAGGATGTCCTGCGATCTGAGGGAGAGGAGAAAATCTCAATTCGATCTAAATTAGGCTCGCTGTCCCGACTTCCCGGGAGCCTGGGGATGAGAGATGCCTCGAGTTCCTCGGAACTCATCCAGTACCTCATCGAGCTCACCTATACTCAAGCT